GAAGGTGGCCGTCAACATGGTGACACGGCAACCCCCCACAACGTCAACAGCAGTAACGCACCTTCTTCAGTTACCGAGCCTGGCGCCGCCACAACCACCAAGACCACGACAACCACTCATAGTGCGAGTAATCTTAATTCGGATGGCGTCAAGCTATTCACGGAAGAAAAGGAGAAGAGGGATGAGACACCCAACCTTAACAGCGCATCAGAAGGCACAAAACACACACCAGTCAACAGTGAATTGCCCACAACAGCAACAGACCACGCCAACGATATAACAAACGCAACACCACCTGCCGACAGTGACGTCAGCACCGCGGTCTCCCACACCACCTCCCCTCTATTGCTTCTTCTTCCTGTTGTTGCGTGTGCGGCTGCTGCTGCGGTGGTGGCCGCGTGAGAGTGAGGGAGAGAGAGCCGTGCACCGCCCGCACACACACTCGTCCTTCTCTCTCCCTCTGTGTGTGTCCCCTTGCATGGACTCTCGCCCTCACCTCACCCCACGAGGCACACACATAATGTGCCCATTGTATATATGCATGCACACCCATGCAGGCCCGTTGGTGCTCTCTTTTGCGCCACACGCACCGCTGCCGTCCTGCCTGGCTGCATGGGCGGAGCACCGTAACTGTTTCTGTTTTGTTTTTATTGCATTGAGTGGGCGACCTCTCTCTCTCTCCCTGTGTGTGTGTGTTTTGCTTTACGGGAGCAATGAGAGTGTGTGCGCTTGTCGTCCCACGCTTCGGCTTTTTGTTTTTTTCATTGTTGTGGTTGAGTGCACCCATTCCGCGGACTGCGTGTGTGTGCGTGTGCGTGTGTGTGTGATATGAGTAATTTGCGTGTGAGCTATCTGCCTCTCTCTGCCGTTGCTTTCTTTGGACTTTCTTGTGTTGCGTACAGCTGCTCTGCAAGTATAGGCGCTGAAAAAACGCAAGCATATTGACACACACACACACACAATATGTCGCACACGCTGTGGAGCGGTGTGAACGCTGTGAATGCACAAATGCACATGATTCCGACTGCGGCGGCCCTTGCGAGGACGGAGGACGTTAGCCCTCGATGTGTTTTGTTGGCATTTTGCTGGTGTGCAGTCGGTGGGTGTTTTTTGGGGGTGCCTGATGCAACTGTTGATTGGTTCTCACCAAGCTGCTGCACATGCTGACGGGTCCCTCCCGCTCTGGATTTGCCGGTATTCTTTGGCTGTGCGGTGTGATACGCGCCTGCGGCGGAGAAGCGGGTGCGCTGGAAGAGAAAACAGTAAAAAGACCGGCGGCAGCGTGTCGGTTCTGCGAAGGACGGCTGTGCTCTTTTGTCTTCCGCTGGTTGTGTTTTTTGCGTGGGCGTTGTTCGGTGTCTGCTGACGCGTGACGAATAACACACCCGCCGTGACTCCTGCTGCTATTGGTGGCAGTCGCTGTGTGTTCCCGGTGCACTGCTCTTCCTTCTCCTGTTCCGTGTGTTTGTGTGCGTGAGTTGTTGTTGTTGGGAGTGACTGCGGCGGGGATGATGGTGTCACTCACTGTGGATGGGTGTTGGTGCTTATTCTTTCACCCCTTTTTTATTAGCCGGTTTTTTCTTCATTTCTTTCACTCTCACACGCTAGGAAAGCAAACAAGCGCTAATCGCTACTGTGAAATTCGAGGGCACTGAAAGGACCAACAACAGCACACACACCGCCCACACACACATATTTATATGCTCTCACGTGCTGCTGCAGTGAAGGCACCCCGCACACACAACCGTCGCCGCGTGACCGGATCCAGCGGAAGGAGGAGGGAAGGAGGAGAGGGTGAGCGGCGGAGGTCCAACATGTCCCGGCGTGTTTTTGCTTCCGCGGTGCTGCTCCTCCTCGTCGTTATGATGTACGACACTGGAAGAGTCGTGAAAGCTGCTGAGCCAACGTCAGATCAGCGATCTTCACCGAGCCCATCTTTTGTTTGGAGAGATAAGAATGATAACGAAGCAGTGGATTCGCTCTATGTTCCCAGTCTTGTTGAGGTGAATGGTAAAGTGTTTGCCGTTGCCGTGGCGCTGTTGAAGAAGAATGAAAATGAAAAAACCCATTTCTTTACTGGGATTGCCTCGGAGCACCTTGAGTTGAGTGGTAGAACCCCAAAAATGTTGGGTGTAAGTAATTTGAGGACAAAGACACTGGAGAAGTGTTCTTCCCAAGAAGAAGGCAAATGCCCCTCTCTGTCAGCGAAACAGGACGGTTCCCAAAGCGAAATGAAAGTATATGTGAGCCGGCCAACAACAGTTGTGAAGGAAAATGACATTTACATGCTTGCTGGAACCTACATCAGGGAAAATGTCCCTGTTTTTCGGGGTAAGGCTGGCGCGGCCTCATGGGGTCTTTTGTTGGTAAAGGGGAATGTCAGTGATGAACAGGGCAAAGGAATTGTTTGGGAAGATACTGACGGTCTCCCGCGCACTTCTATTGTGGGACTTCACGAATCTTTGAAAGGTGAGATTGGAAGCGGTGGATCGGGTATTAAGATGAAGGACGGTACGCTTGTGTTCCCAGTGGAAGGCACGAAGGAGGAGGCCGACACAGAAGAGAGTGGAAAGACCGTCTCACTGATTATATATACTCCTCGGATACTCTAAATTGGAAGCTGTCGAAGGGGATGTCTGCCGATGGCTGCAGTGATCCCTCCGTCGTGGAGTGGAAGGGAAAACTCATGATGATGACTGCGTGTGATGACGGCCGCCGCAGGGTGTACGAGTCCGGTGACAAGGGGAATTCGTGGACGGAGGCGCTCGGGACACTCTCGCGCGTGTGGGTCAACAACCACAAGCGACATAAGAAGGGCGTTAGAAGCGGGTTCACCACAGCGAAGATTGACGGTTTTGAAGATGATAAGAGAAACGTGATGCTCGTTACTCTGCCGGTGCATTCCAAGGCTGAGAAAGAAAACGAAATAGAAAAAGACGTACTCCATCTTTGGCTGACGGACAATACGCACATTGTTGATATTGGGCCGGTATCCGGGAACAATGATGACGTTGCCGCCAGCTCCCTGCTGTACAAAAGTGGAAATCAAGGAAATAAAGAGGAAGAGTTGATTTCATTGTACGAGAAGAAAGGCGGTGGGGAATCATCACTCGGTATGGTTTCAGTGCTTCTGACTGAGCAGCTGAAGCGGGTGAGGGAGGTGCTGGCGACGTGGAATAAAGTGGACCAAAGCGTTTCCCAGCTGTGTGGTTCTGAGAGTGCTGAGGAGGATACCTCAACTGACAATGCCTGCAGTGCTGATAAAATCACGGCTGGGCTGGTTGGCTTTTTGTCCGGCAGCTTCTCTGATGGCACATGGAGGGACGAGTACCTCGGCGTGAACGCCATAGTAAAGAGCGGTATTGGTGCGGATAATGGCGTGACGTTCACGGGGCGCGGTGCAGGGGCGGAGTGGCCCGTTGGCGAGCAGGGGGAGAATCAGCTGTACCACTTTGCGAACTACAACTTCACTCTTGTGGCGACGGTGTCCATCCACGGTTTGCCAAAGGACGGAGATAACTCCATTCCATTGATGGGTGCGAAGGTGAATGATGGCGATAAGAATAGTGTACTCCTGGGACTGTCGTACAACAGAGAAAAGAGGTGGGAATTGTTGCACGGTGGCGAAAAGACGTCGGAGCACAGCAGGACTTGGGAGCCGGGGACAACGTACCATGTGGCCATTGTGCTACAGAACGGCAATCAGGGCTCCGTTTACGTCGATGGTCAGCGTGTGTGTGAGAGTGTGCACAGTAACTTGGAAAATACGGATTCGAAAGGGATCTCACACTTCTTCATTGGAGGGGACGGAGGCAATGCAGAGAACACAGGGGGTAACGAAGGTGTATCTGTGACTGTGACGAACGTCCTGCTGTACAACCGCCCGTTGACATTTGCTGGTGGGAGTGCCGATTTGGAAGAAGTTATTGCGTCACCCTCTGAGGCTTCAGTGGAGCATTTGCGTGGGAGCGGACTGCTGCCGCTGCTTCTTCTGTTGGGACTGTGGGGGTTTGCGGCTCTGTGAGGAGTGACTGGCAGCCGCGTGGAGTACCTGCGACCTCCCCAGCAGAGAAGTACTATTCCCATAGGAACAAATTTCTCTCATAAAAACATTTTTTATGTGTGCGTTTTATCTCTTACTTTCCCATCCCCTCTTTTTTGCTTTGGGCGCAATCACTATGGACGTTTTTTTCTTTTTTCTTTTCTACTCTTCCCTCTTTAATTGTTTCTTCCGCACTCCTCCTGTGAGGGGTGCCGTGTGTTTCCGCCCAACTGCTCCACTCGCACACCCACCGACACGCTCATGACGACGGCCCTGTGCGCCTCGCCTGCTGCACGCATGAGGAGGGGCTGCGACGAACGGCGCGCTGAGGGAGCCGCGACGTGTGGGCGTGCGACGAGGGCCTGTGGGGCGGAGCACACATTTCTTCCCCTCTTGTTTTGTTTTTTTGCGGCCAGGGCGGGCAGACACCCGCAGCGCCACACACACAGCCACACCCTGCCGCCGTGTTTTTAAGATTTTTTGTTTTTTTGTGTGCATTTCACGCGCCGGCAGTCCCTTCGGTGTCGGCCTCGTGAGCATTTCTTTTCCCTCCTGATGATTTTTTTTTTTTGCTGCGCTCACTCTCCCGATGGAGTGACGCGACTGCCGTCATGTCTGCGTGCTTCTCTCAGTCCCCACACACACGAGTGACTGTGCTCTGCGGGCCGCACTCACGCGCCGATGGGAGGGCTGAGGGGAGCAGCAACACGCAGATGACCCCATGAAATATAAACGATGTGCGGACACGTGGAGGGTCGGACGGTTGAAAGAAATGTAAATACTTTTTAATTTTATTTTCGGACAAAATATATGCAGACAATTTCTGGAGCAAGATGGTAGTTGGGTGCCTTTTTTGTGTGTGTTTTTCTTTTTTTTTCTTTTTTTCTTTTTAAAGTGTGAGGTGTGGAAAGGTGAGGATGAGTTTTTATTTATTTATTTTCATTAAATTTTTTCATGAATGGTCGCTGCTTGGGTTGCAGTGCAGTATCATGAGCTTGAGCAGTCTTTTTATCTTTATTTCTGCCATGCACCTCCGCTGTACATTTTTGTTTGTGCGTCCCTTCACATGCTCTGCTCCTGTTTTTACTTCTTTGCTTCGTGTGTCCGCAGGCACACACAACCACACGCACGCACAAAATGCAGATTTCATTCGATTTGGATGCTTCTTTTGTGGCGTGTGCTGACGGTTGCGTGTGGCTGCTGCTTCCTCCGTGGGCATGAAGGGAAGGAAGGAGGAAGTGAGTGCCCACCGCGAGTCACGCTTAATGCGGGTGTGATGCGCGCGGCGGATGTGTCGTGTGCTCCGAGTGACGGCGGCCCGAGCTATCGCGTGCGTGTGTGGAGGAATTGTTCTGCTGCCAGTGCTGAGGCTCAGCATGAGAATTACACTTTCAGTGGCTTTGATGTGCGCATGCATGGCAGGAATGGTGAGCTGTGTGCTGTGTGCCATGTGGCCAATGCGGTGCACACATGTAGCAACTGTGCTGCCAGCTGTGCAAGGAAAGAGGAAGGGGCCACCGTTGCCTTCACGATGAATGTGACGACACATAAATACGCCGGCCCTTATGAATTGTGGTGGCGTCAATTTCCCCGATGGAACCATCCATTCGCCTGCACGGAGCGGCGATGCTGACCGGACGGGCATCTGTCAGTTGCCGCCACCCCGTGAAGGGAAGGATGACACAAAATCTGGTGGAACAACTGCGCCGCAAGTTAATGCTGAGCCGTCACGTCAGGACGAGGATTGGCGACAGTCTGCGGCGGCTGACGGACCCAACACCGTCGATCCGAGTCCCGCATCCAACACGGCGACCAACACGTCCGAGACGAGGCCTGAGTTTGCCACCAATCCGATCGAAGTGATGGTCCCGAATGCTTCCACGAAGAGGCCTTCCTTTGCCAACGGTCCGAGAATATTAGTGGCGTCGAATGCATCCGGGATCATGTCTGTTACTTGTGGCGGCAGGGAACACGTTGCTGCGGATAACACGGACGAGGCGAGTGAGCACGACGCCACCGGACACAAATCTCTCGTTTTAGAAAATGGCGTTGCGGGCAGTGGATTTGTTGCTGAGGGTGATGCGGACGGATTGACTCAACGCAATGCTTCTGGACACGACAACAAACCCCAATGACGAGAATTCACCGCGCAGTATTCCGGGAGCGGTGTGAGTCCCGACGACTGCTTTGCCCTGCGCAACGACGCGAAATTGACACTGCGCGAGTTGACTGTTGACGGCACTGTGCGTGTGTGCGTGTATTGTGCGTTGCTGCTTCTTCTGGGATTGTGTGGAGTTGTGACGGTCTTGTGAGCCGAAGAGTGTGGAATTGCGGCTTCTCGCAGAGAACGTGTGCCGCGTTGCATGTGTGTTTTCTTTTATTATTTACATTTTGCTGTTGGTTTTGTTGTTTTCCTGGAATAATAAGTATCGTTGCTGTTCCTTTATTTAATTGTCGGTTGCTGCACACTCTCATGAGTGACGCGTTTCTCCTCCTTGTTTTTTGTTGCCCACACGCGGTGCCGGCCTCATTGCAGTGCGTCCCACGGACTGCACGAAAGGAGGAGCGGAGGAACAGGCCGGATGCCGCAATGAAGTGTGAAGAGTGTTGTGTGTGGGCTGGTGGAACAGTACGATCTTTTTTTGCTTTATTCAGTGCGGGAATCATGTGCAGACAAACAAATGTCTTTTTTTATTGTGCTGCATGGCAAATGAAATGAAAGTCGTGCCTGATCGATGTTTCATATTATTTTTTACTTTTTTGGAGCCTTGCCAGACCCTCAACTCTGTTTTTCTTTTTTCTAAAACTTCTGGTTTGCAGGGCGGTGCGCAAGTTCTGCAGTTGTAACGATTCCGACTGCCTCATGGTGTGCGCAAGCTGCCATTTGTCACTGTGTGGTGACTGTGAGTAGTGTAGCGGCCGTGTCTGTTGCTTTTTCACTCTGCGTTGACGGGTGTTAGTTTGTGCTGAAGGCTACACGCAAGTGACAGGAGTGATGGCGATGATGATGGCTGGCCGTGTGCTGCTGGTGTGTGCCCTCTGCGTGCTGTGGTGCGGTGTCGGCTGTGGTTTTGCGGACAAGGTGGTGGAAGCTGCTGCCGGTGTTGTTGCCAGTAACAGAACGGATGAGGAGAATTTGATCTTGAATTGGTATGTTCTGACGCAGGGAGAATGCGCGAATGAAAGCACGACAGGAGGGAAGTTGAATGTGACAGCTGAGAGGATCTGCATGCACAAAGTGATGAAGGAGGTTTGTGACGCTTTTTATAATAAAACGTCGGGTGTAACTCATGACCGTGACGTTGAGTTTATTTGTACGTACTACGCTACCATTCCAGAGGAGCCCGTCGAGCCCCCAACACCGCAAGGGCCACCACCAGATTCAGCTGTCAGCAATACCACCATTGATGAGGGGACGCCGAAGAATGCACCGGAATCCGATGTTGCAGGGAGAGGGGAAGGAAAAGACGATGACAAGGAGCACGGCAATACGAAGCAAAAAGCAGTCGAAACCGCCGCTGTGGAAAGTATCACGAGGAGTACCGACAGTGACGTCAGCACCGAGGTCTCCCACACCACCTCCCATCTTTTGCTTCTTCTTGTTGTTGTTGCGTGTGCGGCTGCTGCTGCGGTGGTGGCCGCGTGAGAGTGAGGGAGAGAGAGCCGTGCACCGCCCGCACACACACTCGTCCTTCTCTCTCTGTGTGTGTGTCCCCTTGCATGGACTCTCGCCCTCACCTCACCCCACGAGGCACACACATAATGTGCCCATTGTATATATGCATGCACACCCATGCAGGCCCGTTGGTGCTCTCTTTTGCACGACACGCACCGCTGCCGTCCTGCCTGGCTGCATGGGCGGAGCACCGTAACTGTTTTTTATTATTATTATTATTTGTAATTTTTTTGATTTGCTTTTGCTATGAGCGTTCATCTATTTCGTACAACCCCATTCCTTTTTTTTTTTTTTGCGTATTTAAATTTATTTTCCTGTTTGCTTCTTTTCTTTTTTTTTAAAAAAAATTTATCTGTTCTTTTTTTTTCTAATCCTTTTTTTTCCAATCTTTAATCCCCTCATCCCTTCTTTTTTTGCTTTTGGGGGCAATCACGATGAACGTTTTTTTCTTTTTTCTTTTCTACTCTTCCCTCTTTAATTGTCTTTTGCTGCACTCTTCCTGTGAGGGGTGCCGTGTGTTTCCCGCCCAACTGCTCCACTCGCACACCCACCGACACGCTCATGACGACGGCCCTGTGCGCCTCGCCTGCTGCACGCATGAGGAGGGGCTGCGACGAACGGCGCGCTGAGGGAGCCGCGACGTGTGGGCGTGCGACGAGGGCCTGTGGGGCGGAGCACACATTTCTTCCCCTCTTGTTTTGTTTTTTTGCGGCCAGGGCGGGCAGACACCCGCAGCGCCACACACACAGCCACACCCTGCCGCCGTGTTTTTAAGATTTTTTGTTTTTTTGTGTGCATTTCACGCGCCGGCAGTCCCTTCGGTGTCGGCCTCGTGAGCATTTCTTTTCCCTCCTGATGATTTTTTCTTTTGCTGCGCTCACTCTCCCGATGGAGTGACGCGACTGCCGTCATGTCTGCGTGCTTCTCTCAGTCCCCACACACACGAGTGACTGTGCTCTGCGGGCCGCACTCACGCGCCGATGGGAGGGCTGAGGGGAGCAGCAACACGCAGATGACCCCATGAAATATAAACGATGTGCGGACACACGGAGGGTCAGACGGTTGAAAGACATTTAAATATCTTTTAATTTTATTTTGCGGGCAAAATATGCAGACAATTTGGTGTGGCCACACGGCAACCAGGCGATTTCTAAATTTGTGTGGAACAGTAATGGACGATTTCTTTTTTTATTTATAATTATTTTGTGTGATGGGGTTTGTGTAAGACGAAGGGAAGGTTTCTTTTTTTGTTTTAAATAAATCTTGTGTGAATTGCCACTGCTTGGGCTGCAGTGCAGTCATGAGTTTGAGCGGTCTTCTTCTTGTTGCTTCCGCCACGCGTCTCCGCCGTACATTTTTTTCTGCGTCCCCTCACATACTCTGCTCACTCTTTTCTACTTCTTTGCTTTGTGTTTCTGCAGGCACACACAACCACACACACACAAGATGCACATTGCAGTGGATTTGGATGCTTTTTTTGCAGCGTGTGCTGGAGGTTGCGTGTGGCGGCTGTTGTCCTTCTTTGTGGCCATGAGGAGAAGGAGGAGGAGGGAGAGGGAGTGCGCAGCCCGAGTCTCCTTTCCTGCGGGTGTGGAGCACCGCGTGTGAATGCGTTGAGTTGGGCTCCGTGTGCGTTGTGTGGTGGCTGCGGGTTTTTGCCATTTCCCGTTGGCTGTGGGAATGAGCTGGGAGGAGATGGTGGTGGATGTCTTCTCCTCCTGCATGGTGGGTGGCTGCTGGCGTTGTGTGCCTTTCTTGCGTGGATTCCGCCTCGTGGTGTGTGAACTGTGCGGCTGGGCCTGCTGCCCTCTCCTCATGTTGTCTGCGCTCTCTCTCTCTGCATCCGCTGCACTCCGTTCCTCTCCCTCCTTTTCCATTCCTTTTCCTTCTGGCTCACCGATCAGCTGGCTGGCCCCAGCGACTCCACGACGCGTGACGATGGTGCGGTGTGCGCCGTGTTGGTCCTTGCGCTATTGTGCTGCTTGCCTGTGTGTGTGACGGCTGCTGGGACTCCTGGAGATGTATCTGGTGATGCGGATGCGGTGGTTGTGCCGGTGGATGTGTCGTGTGCTCCGAGTGACGGCAGCCTGAGCTATCGCGTGTGTGTGGGAGTGGAAGAAGTGTTCTGCTGCCGGTGCTGAGGCTCAGCATGAGAATTATACTTTCAGTGGCTTTGGTGTGCGCATGCATGGCAGGAATGGTGAGCTGTGTGCTGTGTGCTGTGTGCCATGTGGCCAATGCGGTGCACAGATGTAGCAACTGTGCTGCCAGCTGTGCAAGGAAAGAGGAAGGGGCCACCGTTGCCTCCACGATGAATGTGACGACACATAAATACGCCGGCCCTTATGAATTGTGGTGGCGTCAATTTCCCCGATGGAACCATCCATTCGCCTGCACGGAGCAGCGATGCTGACCGGACGGGCATCTGTCAGTTGCCGCCACCCCGTGAAGGGAAGGATGACACAAAATCTGGTGGAACAACTGCGCCGCAAGTTAATGCTGAGCCGTCACGTCAGGACGAGGATTGGCGACAGTCTGCGGCGGCTGACGCACCCAACACCGTCGATCCGAGTCCCGCATCCAACACGGCGACCAACACGTCCGAGACGAGGCCTGAGTTTGCCAGCAATCCGAACGAAGTGATGGTCCCGAATGCATCCACGAAGAGGCCTTCCTTTGCCAACGGTCCGAGAATATCAGTGGCGCTAAATGCATCCGGGATCATGTCTGTTACTTGTGGCGGCAGGGAACACGTTGCCGCGGATAACACGGACGAGGCGAGTGAGCGCGACGCCACTGGACACAAATCTCTAGTTTTAGAAAATGGCGTTGCGGGCAGTGGATTTGTTGCTGAGGGTGATGCGGACGGATTGACTCAACGCAATGCTTCTGGACACGACAACAAACCCCAATGACGAGAATTCACCGCGCAGTATTCCGGGAGCGGTGTGAGTCCC